AAAATCAAAAAGACAGCACTGAGGGAAGGGACAAAAAAGCGAAAGGAGCAGGGAAAAGAGACAAGGAGGGAACCACAGAGGTCAGTCAGAGCAGGGCAGAACGCAAGGGGAAGCGCACACACAACTACTCTCAAACCACACAAACCATCCACCATCCCAACCACCCTACAATCCTACCCACACCTCCCCCAACCCAAGCATAGAACCCCAATAGCCACCAGGGCTCCCACCCCCCAGGCCCCCCAAACCACAGTGTTGGGAAAAGGAAATGAAGGTATGGGTACACCCCAAAAACTGTGGAAAAAACAAAAAGTGGGGGGAGTGGCAAGAAAGAGTCAAAGAAGCATCACCGGGAAACATAGCCTCACAGAAACCAAACTTTCAGGTAGATAAAAGATGCCCCCTTTTCCAACGGGATCCCCAAAACCCGAGGAAAGACAAGGGAACAGGGGGGGGGGAGGAGGGCGTTGCTGATCAAAAAAAGCTGGAATTTTTATGAGCTGGGGAGAGAAGTAGCGGAAAGAAAGTGATTACTATGGGAACACTTCACTCGGGGTCCCCAAAGGGGGTAAAAACATGATGAAAACCCCCCAAGAACAGCAGGGGCCAAGGCAAGAGTACGACGGGGCAATAGAGCGATGGTTTGACACCTGGCTAGATGGCCCGAAGAGCTCATGCAGCGGGCAAAGCTCCCGACATGGGGGACTTTAACCCCAAGGGGATAGATTGGGGAGAACTTGGACCCACATGGGGGGCCCAAGAATTGGGGGTAAGATGATGGAGGTGGTACTGGAGAAATTCATTACCAAACACTTTAAGGACACACAAGAAGGGGGAGGAGGTGAACCAGCAGGCTGGGCTTAGTATTTACCTTCGTAGGCAGTTTTGGGAATACATATAAAGACCCCTTTTGGGGCCCGTGACCCTGTGGGTTTTAAGTTTGAATACACGTAGAGCACAAGTGGAGGAGAAGCAGGAAAGGGCCCGGACAATGAAACAAAAAACAAGAAAGGGGGCTACACGGGGAAAGAGAACAAACCCGAACGGGGGGGTTTAGTGGGGCAAGAACTGGCAGGGAAACCATTAATGAGATTTATGGAAAATGTAGCAATAAAATCAAGGGGCTGAGGGGAAAGGGTTTGTACCCCAAGGGGAAAAGATAATGAAAAACCAGGGTGAGCCCAGGTTTACCCCAAAAGGGGCAGGGGCAAAAAACCAAGGGCTAGGGGAAAGGAAGAAATATAAAGGGGAAAGGACCCAGGAAAAAAGGGGAACAGTCGTAAGCCCGAAATAAAAGCCCCAGATAAGAAGGAGGCCCCAAAGACAATTGAAATGACATAGCAGCGAAACCAAACTGACCCGAAACTGTTTTTCGCCACATCAGGAAAAACAACAGTCAAGGGCCCGGAATCAGGCAAGGAAGGAAGGAGGGGAGACAACAGGAAATGACCGGAAGTATGGAAGAACCAAAAAAGATTTAAAGAAAGGGTTTCCCGAGGGGACAGAAGGGACTCCAAAAGACGGGAGGTGGGGGACCCACCAAGTGCTGGACACAGTGCACAAACCAGGGAAAAAGTGAAGAGGCTTCTGGTGATAGATACCTCAAAGGCAAAGGGGGCCCGATAACACTCCCCCGGGGTTTGGAGAGGGGGGCAAGGCGCATGGTACCCCCAAAACAAATTCAATACATCTATCGAAACAGGGGTTGCCTGAGCAGGAAAACAGCAAAGTGTCCCCAAACTTTAAAAAAGGGGACAGACTGAAGCATTAAAATACAGACCGTTTACGACATGTATGTATGCAAAATCAGGGAAATTATAAGGGAAAGAGGGTGGAAACCCAGAAAGGAATGATCTCATCAAAAGCAGCCAGCATGGTTTCAGGGGCGGGAAAACCTGTGTCCAAACCTACTGAGTTCTATGACATGGTGCAAGGGAAGAAAAAAGAGGGGGGGGTGGATTTGCTTTTCTTGGATGCAAGAAGGGGTTTGACCAGTTCCACACAAAGATTGGTGCAAAAGGAGGGCCAAGCAGGGATAACAGGGGAAAGGGACTACAATGGATCAGGGAATACTTGAGGAAAACAGGCGGTCATGGTACGGCGAGGGGGTCAAGTGGGCACCGTGACCCGGGGGTCCCGCAGGGGGCAGTCCTAGACCATGCTTTTTGGATTTTTGAACGACATCGGAAGGAATAGACTCTGGGGTCCCCCGTTTTTAAAAGGACTGAAGTTGTGAGAAAAATACACTCGATCGAAGACCAGGCAGAATACAAAAGGGATCGGACAGGCTGCAGAACTGTCCCAATTGGCCCATTTACCCACCCCGTAAAGTATAAATTTGGGGGGCAAAAACCGCAAGGGAACGTTTGGGGGGAAAGGACTAAAACCACCCAAAAAAAGACGGGGAAATAAAACCCAGGCACCCCTCGAATCCCCAAAAATGCCCGCAAGGCGCCGCCCTCAGAACACATCCAAAATCTTTAAAAGATCGTTCAACCCGACACCTAACGTTACCAAATTGGAGTATCGGCAAAACCAAGGGAAACCCACACTAGCCAACACTAAATAAACCCCGAGAAAAAGGGAAAAGGGTTTTAACAACTAGCCCCCAAAAAAAGAGGGAAAAATCCCTACGAGGAGGGGGGAAAGGGAAATCAACCTGACACCGGGGGACAGGAAGATAGGGGGGAAATAAGGGCATCAAAATATGAGAGGGAATTGAAAGGTGGGGCAAAAAACAATGTTCCAGGATTTGGCACAGTAACAAGGGGGCCCCAGTTGGGAAGCTAAAGACACAGTGGGAACACAGGGGTGTTAGGAAATATTTTTTAGCCACAGAGTAGTCAGTAATGAAAAGTTTGGGGGAAACGAGTATGGGGCAGGATCCATACTAGCTTTAAGCAGAGGACGAAAAGCTCACGGCTCAGGGGAGTGACCTAGTCGATCATGAAAAGGGGGCCAGGAGCTCGGACTCGACCCCCCCCAACCTCAATAGGTGAACTAGTGAGACAACACACCCCCACACACACACACAACGCAACATATAGGTGCCCGGCAAACCCAAGAAGACGTTCTGCCCTATGAAAAAAATCATTTAAAACTATGTAACCGTTTACTCGCCCCCCTACTGGGGGTACGCAGCACCATTTGGAACCCCCACCGATCAGGCCGTCAGGATCTAGAGATAGTGCCCAAAGGTTTTTACAAGACTAATCCCCAGGAGAGGTTAAGGGGTTTGAGCTTCATCTGTGTGTCTGTCCATCACTGCCAGAAGTCTGCCCATTCAACATCAGTCAGTCTTGTCACTTTACAAGTTGATCCATAAACATGCTTATCTACATTTCAATGTTATTTTAGTGCGGTTACTCAGGCTTCAATTGCTTCTGTATCTTTTACTTCATTATTACTTCTCTCTGATATAAATATTCTAATGTTATATTCTCTGTTATAATTCATGTACATGGACTAACTCACTTATAGAAAATAATCTACAAGCAATTTATTAAGCGAAATTTCTCAAGTACATCGTAAGAATATTTTTTTATTTGTTATAAATTAAGTTGGATTATCATAATTTTATATGAATCATAACCTAAATATATCACATCATTGTAAAATGATTCGAAAGTGATCAAAAATTGTGAATCATTGTTTAGTGAAAAGCAGATATTCTGCTAAGGAGGACCTCAGATGGAGGTCAAATTATGGAAACTTATTTTTCTAGTTTATGTCCACTTGGGATTAACACGCACACGCACACGCACACCACACACACAGACACAACATCACACACACACCACACACACACCACACACACACACACACACACACAAACACACTCACAGACACACACAAACACCACACACACAACACACACAACTGCATACATATAGGTGCTGGCAAACCTAGAAGAGCGTTTCTGCACCTGTCGTAAGGAATCATTAAAAAACCTGTTTGGAAACCAAACTGATCAGGACACGTCAGGAATTTAGAGATAGTGCAAAGGTTTTCAGCAAAGGACTAATCCCGGAGGAGAGGTTAAGGGGAATCAACCTGACGACACTGAGAGGACAAGAGGCGTATTGGGGGACAGACCCCCTGAGGCGGGGTTTCGGGGGTCGCGCCCCACCCGTTCAGTGATTATTTTGCATTCTTGTTATTACGATTTTGTGAGTTAGAATTAGACACATGCAACGCTGGGTCTCTCTATTTTGTAGGAGCATGTCACAAAAAACTCAGTCCTTAAAATAAATTACAGTGACATAAAACGGCACTACTGTAGAAGGACGAGGTATAGTCCTCAGCTCGGCAAAATATTATACAGGGAAGGACATCGTACTTGGTTGAGGGACTGTTTGCATCTCTTCGATTAGTCATTCCATTTATGTCTCTGTCTTGTACTGATGAAGTTTCACTAGATCGAGGAAAACGGTTGCAATAATTAATGATTCATAGACGGTTGCATATGGTAACTTATCATCTGTTGAGGAAGTCTGTGACATATGATTAGGAAGTTTGTGACACTGACGAATCAGTCCATGATACTGACGAGGGAGTCAATGACTCTGATAAAGAATTTCATAACACTAGAACAGAGTTCGCAGCTCTAACGATGGCGGTCATAACACTAAAGAAGGAGTCAGTGGCATTATAACTTAACAATAACTTTATTCTCTGCAAGTACTTGTACAAGGTATACTGTCCTAGCTGAATCAGTGACACACTATATACTGAAGCCCTCTGTTATGCAGAGATTTTCGGGCAATTAGAGGCAATGCGACCAAAACTAGTCGACTGGACCCCCAGCGTCCCATTTTACTGTTGGGTTAACATGGTACAACAGGTGTGAGGAAACACGCCCAATATTTCCGCCCTTGCCGGGAATCGAACCCGAGTCCTCAGCATGTGAAGCGAGAGCTTGGCCAACCAGGCCACGGGCCAGGGAGAGAAAATCCGTGGACACACACTGCTCTGGAAGTTACTTTCGTCTACCATTAATGTGTGTTATTGTTTTCATATCAGTCATATTTTCAGAATGCACAGTTCCGTCATGGTAGTCGTGTTGATGATGCTGGTGATGGCCACAGTCTTCACGCAGGCACAGGATCTCAAATATCCTGAGCGTCAGGTGAGTCTTACTGCAGTGCTGAGTGGCAAGAAAAGTCCTGGTGGTGTGTTGGTTGGTCTGAATGGTCCTGGTGGTGTGTTGGTTGGTATAATGGTCCTGGTGGTGTGTTGGTTGGTATAATGGTCCTGGTGGTGTGTTGGTTGGTCTGAATGGTCCTGGTGGTGTGTTGGTTGGTATAATGGTCCTGGTGGTGTGTTGGTTGGTATAATGGTCCTGGTGGTGTGTTGGTTGGTATAATGGTCCTGGTGGTGTGTTGGTTGGTATAATGGTCCTGGTGGTGTGTTGGTTGGTATAATGGTCCTGGTGGTGTGTTGGTTGGTATAATGGTCCTGGTGGTGTGTTGAGTAGTGAGAGATATCCTGCTGTTTTTTAGTGTTGAAAATGTTTCTGCTGGTGTTCTTAGTGTTTAAAAAGATCCTGCTGGTGTTTTAATGGTGAGAAAGATTCTCCTGATGTTCTTAGTCTTGAAAATGGTGCTGCTTGAGTTTCCAGGAGTGTTTTTAGTTTTATTTGTGGTGGTGTTTTTAGTTGTGAGAAAGATTCTGCTTGTGATTTTAGTGGAGAAAGATACTGCTTGTGTTTTTAGTGGTGAGAAAGATCCTGGTGATATTTTTAGTGTTGAGAGAGAGATCCTGCTGGGGGTTTTAGTTGTGAGAAAGATCAATCTGGTATTCTTAGTGTTGAGAAAGATCCTGCTGGTGTTATTAGTGGTGAGAAAGCTCCAACTAGTATCTTGGGTATTGAGAAAGGTCCTGCAGGCGTGATAAGTGGTGAAAGGGATTCTTCTGATGTGCTGAGTAGTGAGAGATGTTCTGCTGGTGTGATGGGTGATGAGGAAGGTTCTACTTAAATGTTGATTGGTGATGGTCTTGCTAGTGTCTTGAGTGAGTAAGAGAGTTGCTGTTTGTGTTTTGAGTAGTGAGAGAATTTTTCTTTCTATTTAGAGTGGTGAGAGGATCGTTGTTAGAGGTAGTGAGAGAGGTAGATGTTTGTTGTTTAGAATGGTGAGAGAGATTGTGATGGCGTGTTTGATGATCAATATGTACTGATCTGTAAGAGTTGTATTTAACATGTTAAGCAGTAGCAAGTGTTTATGATCATTACTTATATTTCCATATACTACTGCTTCTCTAAGTCATTTATGTTTTATTTTATTACTTACCTGTTATATAATTACACACATTTAATAATTAAGTATTTTTTATAATCTTCACTAAAGTGTTTCCTTATTTTTTTGGCCAGAATAGTGGTGTGAAAAATTTTAAACGTACATTGACTTATCAAAAAAAATCTATGTATATCTCCTCGTTGGGATCACTTGGCCAATTTATTTTCCTAAAATTTTTGTCAGAAATAACAAATTCACCACTGTGTCATTCATGAGTAATGTTCCTTTCATCGAATGTCTTGTATCATTAATTTAAAAAAAAAATGTTAAATGTTGATCATTACAGTTATGGGTGGATACTTATTAATTTTTCTATGGAGAAATAATACCGCATCAGAATTGACCACAATTTGAAAATGATTTACCAGTAAACTAAAACCAACTTCAGATCATTGCTGTTTTTGGATTTTTTGTTATGTCTTTCTTATATATTATTTTATATATTTTTTTATTTTTTTATTTATCACACCGGCGTTTCCACCAAGGCAGGGTGGCAGAAAAAGGAAAAACATTTCACCATCATTCACTCCATCCACTTCTTGCAGAAGGGGGCTTTACACTACAGTCTTTTAATCAGCAAACATTAAACACCCTCTTCAGATTGGCAGGCACTGTACTTCCCATCTCCAGGACTCAAGTCGGCCTGCGGTTTCCCTGAAATCCCTTCATAAATGTTACTTTGCTCACACATCCAAACAGCACGTCAAGTATTAAAAACCATTTGTCTCCATTCACTCCTATCAAACACGCTCACGCATGCCTGCTGATGTCCAAGCCCTCGCACACAAAAACCTCCTTTACCCTCCCTCCAACCCTTCTTGGCGACCCCTACTCCCGCCTTCCTGCCACTACAGACTGTTGCACTCTTGAGTCATTCTGTTTCGCTCCATTCCTCTCTAATGTCCGAACCCCTCATCAACCCTTCCTCAGCCCTCTGGACAACAGTTTTGGTACATCCCGCACCTCGTCACTAACTTACAAACTACGAATCCTCTGCATTATATTCACACCACACATTGCCCTCAGACATGACATCCCACTGCCTCCAGCCTTCTCCTCGCTGCACTTTCATCACCCACGCTTCACACCCATTTAAGAGCGTTGGTAAAACTATAATCTCATACATTCCCCCTTTGCCTCCAAGGCAAAGTTCTTTGTTCCACAGACTCCTAAGTGCACCACTCACTCTTTTTCCCCTCATCTCAATTCTATGATTCACCTCATCTTTCATAGGACCATCGCTGACACGTCATCAAATATCTGAATACGTTCATCCTCCATACTCTCTCCCTCCAATCTGATATTCCCCCCCCCCCCCCCCCCCCCCCCCCCCCCCCCCCCCCCCCCCCCCCCCCCCCCCCCCCCCCCCCCCCAATCTTTCATCACTAATCTTTTGTTATCCTCATAACTCCTTACTCTTTCCTGTATTCACTTTATTTTCTTACTTTTGCACACGCCCTACCAATTCATCCACCAATCTCTGCAAATTCTCTTCAGAATCTCCCAAGAGCACAGTGTCATCGCAAAAGAGCAGCTGTGACAAACCTCCCACTTTGTGTGTGATTCTTTATCTTTTAAACTCCACGCCTCTTGCGGAGACCTCGCATTTACATCTCTTACAACACATCTATAATATATTAATACAACCCACGGTGGACAATCACAAATCTTGTATAGGCCTTTTTAATGGGAAAAATTTTCCCTCTTTCCTACATACTCTATACACTTGTAGCCCTCATCTATCCTCGTTTAAAAACTCTTCACTGCTTTTCAGTAACCTACATCCTACACAATACACTTGCAACATGTCTGCCCACATTGCCCCCCTATCACCCTGTCATCGCTTTTCCATAATCCATAAATGCCACAAAGTCCTCTTTAGCCTTTTCTAAATCTGTTCACTTATTTGTTTCTACTGTAATACACATGTCCACACACCCCCTACATTTCCTAAGCCTCCTTGTTCAATCTGCTAGCCTATTCTCCGCTTACTCTTAATTCTTTCAATTATAACTCTACCATACACTTTACAGGTACACTCAACAGACTTATCCCCTATATTTTTTGCACTCTCTTTTATAACCTGTGGCTTTATACAATGGAACTATGCATGCCTCTCTGCCAATACTAGGTACCTTAACCCTCTTCCATACATTTATTAAATAATTTGCAACCAACCACTCCAAAACTATATACCCACTGCTTTTAACATTTCTATCTTTATACCCATCAATCCCGGCTGCCTTACCCCCTTTCATTTTACCTAACTGCCTCACGAACTTCACCCCTCACCTCACAAAACGCGCTCTTCCTCACTTCCTACAAGATGTTATTCCTCCTGCCCTATACACGGAAAAACTGCTTCCTATCTTCATCAACATTATAACAAATTCCTCAAAAAATTTTTTCCTTTCCATCTTCCCAATTCCTCTAAACTCTCAATTTAATAAACTCTCCTTTCCTATTTTGAACTGACAAATCCATTTGTTTTCTAAGGCTTCTTATCTTGTTAATCTCATTCCAACTTTTCTTATTTTCACCATAATTGTTGATATCATCTCACCCACTTCTCATTTGCTCTCTTTTTACATTGCTTCACCACTCTCTTAACTTCTCTCTTTTTCTCCATATACTCTTCCCTCCTTGCATCACTTCTACTTTGTAAAAATTTCTCATATGCTAACTTTTTCTCCCTTACTACTCTCTTTACATCATCATTCCACCAATCGCTCCTCTTCCCTCCTGCACCCACTTTCCTGTAACCACAAACTTCTGCTGAACACTCTAACACTACATTTTTAAACCTACCCCATACCTCTTCGACCCCATTGCCTATGCTCTCATTAGCCCATCTATCCTCCAATAGCTGTTTATATCTTACCCTAACTGCCTCCTCTTTTAGTTTATAAACCTTCACCTCTCTCTTCCTGATGCTTCTATATATATATATATATATATATATATATATATATATATATATATATATATTATATATATATATAATATATATATATATATATATATATATATATATATATATATATATATATATATATAATATATAATATGGCGTCACTTGGACTCCATCACTGCCCACCTTGGTTCACCAATGACAGGTTGTGACTGAACTAGCAGCCCAGATCATGCGCGTGGCTCAAGGTCCCTGGAGCACCAGCCTTGACCTGCCCACCAAACGAAATTCCGGCCTCATCAACTCCCTTCTCGGAATCCCTAAGGTCATGAATGATGCCGGAAGAAGATAATCATTTCCTAAACTTTCTGTTAAAATGTAAGTAATAATTATGTGTTGATCATACGTTCTGTACCAAGTTTCTCTTACAAGATGCGGCAACTGAGTGAGATATTTATTACATTATAAATTATATCGGCATTTCATTCACAGAAAGAGCAAATTATTTAATATCCTAGTCAAAATATGACCTCTTTTGGACATGTGAGAATACTACACCCTCAATGTGTTTAACATACTCCTCTCCTCAGTAATTTGGACACTTCCAAGAGCTTGATCTCCAAGCTAAAAGTCTCTAAATAAGGTACTACTTATGTGTCCTACTTATGCATAATCTTCTTTGATCTGTTCCTCCCAGGACGAGACAACTTGACGGTGCCGGTGAGTGGAATCTAACCAGCTTGCAGTAGGGCAGT